AATCTCAATCATAAAATTTGTCTCAACGTGCGTAGCACTCATGTAAAATTTCTCAAAAAGAAATCATGATTATCGTCAAATATGTTGCGGCTAGAACTAAACCTACCAAGATGAACCTGTCTTGAACCTCGTTCTGATAGCACTTGTTGGGATCGAAATAATCAGGCGTTATGCGGAAGTTAGTCAAGCAAACCTTGAACAAATCAGACAACAAAGGAGAAATATACCAAAAGAGACACAAACATTTAACGTGGTTTGATCAATTGACCTACGTCCACGGCAGAGATGAGCAATTCACTATATAAAAGAGAGTACAAAATATCGAGAGAACAACCCCACGAAGAGCCAAACACAAGTGACACGCTAACATTTGTCTCGTAAAATTCTCCCCCTTAACATGACTCTCAAATCACATGTGGCTACATTGTGGATGCTACTGAATGAGAAGGAAGGATCCTTAATTTATAGAAGTCCAAACCTTTTCCTACAAGAAAAAGGACTAGCCAAATATGGGAGATTTATAATTTTCTTTTAAAAGAAGGAAACTCAATTATGGTAAATATGTTGCCCTTTCCTCAACAGAAAGGAAAATCAAATATGGTAAGAAAATCATGACAACACCTAACAATTCTCCCACTTGGCCTAAATTTTCTGACGAAATTAGCTTGATCCACCTTCTTCACATAATCTTCAACAGGTTGCATTTTCAAATCTCCACCACAAAGTTTGTCTCAACGTGCGTAGCACTCCGGTCAAATTTCTCAGACAGAAATCATGATTATCGTCATATACGTTGTGGCTAGAACTAAATCTTCCAAGATGAACCTGTCTTAAACCTCGCTTTGATACCACTTGTTAGGACCGAAAAAAAAGGTGTCAGGCGGAAGCTAATAAAGCAAACCCTTAACTATGATAAATCAGACAACAAAAGAAAAATATATCAAAAGAGACACAAATATTTAACGTGATTCGGTCAATTGACATACGTCCACGTGCGGAGATGAGCAATCCACTATATAAAAGAGAGTGCAAAAAATATTGAGACAACAACCTCGCGAAGAGGCAAACATAAGTGACACACTAACACTTGTCACGTAAAGTTCTCCCTCTAAACAAGACTCTCAAACCCCATATGGCTACATTGTGGATGCTACTGAATAAGAACGAAGGATCCTCAATTTATAGAAGTCCAAAGCCTTTTTCTACAAGAAAAAGGACTAGCCAAATATGAGAGATTTATAATTTTCTTCTACAAGAAGGAAATCCAAATATAGTAAATATATTGTCCTTTCCTTCAAAAGATAGAAAAATTAAATATGGTAAGAAAATCAGTATAAACACCTAGCACGCCCAATGACCCACCATGGGTGACTTAGGTTTGAAATAGGCCAAATACATCGGCAGCCCCTTAAAGTTGTCCTCACTTTTCACTTAAAAACCGTATATTAAGTTTGTTTCATTTGAAGACTCCAACCATATCTCAAATGCGTCATTTAAACACAATTTGATGATGTGGCATAGTGCGTGTATTATACTATTTTCCCGAGCGTGAGAGATCGGTATTTCTATTTCTCATTACTTTCTTTTTACTCCTATTCTTTGGCAAGCAGAACACAAACGAGGTCGCCGGAAAAGTCAATACTCCGGCCAGGTCCAAAGAGGCGACAAGCAATAGTAATATGTTATCAAGGTTTTAACATTTACACACCAACCACGAAATCAGTAATAGACAGAACACGAATGTATCTCCGATAGCACAACGATGGAACACCAGAAATGGTGATAAATGTCGCTGATTTTAATGGTAGCCGCCGAAATATTAAATGTCCGATCACTTCTTTCAATTCTACTCTTTTATCAGTTAAAACAGCAACGAAACAGAATAATAGAGATGAAAGGGGAAAGGAAATGAGCAATGGTCGGTGATTTCTCCCTTCCCTAGATCTGAAAATCCAAAAACGATACTTGTGTTTTTTCTTTTTGGCAGATGAAGACAGAAGGAAGGGGGAGATGACAGCAGAAAGCTTTTCGATTTGATTTTGTTCAATTTGGACGGTTGGAACTCAATTTCCTGCTAACTGAAGCTCACCGGAGTTCTGCAGAATGCCGGAGCTGACGTTTTTATTGTGGGATGGTCTAAAAATTTGTGAGAAGTTAGATCTAGAGGTGGAGAACAATCTTCATTGTTTGGAATTTCTTGATTTGGCCCAGAATTGAGCTGGAAAGAAATGGCCGGAAATGATTTTTCTGGCGATGAGTGATAGTTGGGGAAGATGACAACGAGTGAATCCACGTGTCTTCGTCTTATTCGTCACTCTGGCGTGTGAATTACACGCACTTTTTATGTTTGGCTGCCTCCAAATTTTGTGTCTAAATGACACAGTAAAGACCTAGTTAATTTTGTGTCCTTGACTTGAAATTAATGCTATTGGCTATTGCCATCATTCTATGACGAAGTCTCTACATAATTATTCGAGTTAAGTATTGTAGTAACAAAATCTGGAGATAATTATTATTACTACAAGTTTGAGAACTCTCTTAATCAATTAATATTAAATATAATTACATGCTCTTTCTACGTTTAGTCAGCTGTAATAAAATATTTATTCCAACTATTTTTCCCCCCTCTTTTGGCGAGAATTATCTCTTATACCCAGGGGCAGACGCACGTTGAACAAGTGGTGTCATGCCGCCATCGCTTGATCGAAGTTTTTTTTTATATTAAATATATAGGTAAATAATATGCAAAACGTAAAACTAATATAAATATTTTACAATGACGCTACTTATTAAAACAGGTTTTCGGGTTTGGTGGTGAAGCGCTACAATCTTGCCTAGGAGGTCAAGTTTTTGAAAACTCTTAGGTTATCGTATGCTTTTTAGTTTTTAATATCGACACTGCTTACGACCAGTGCCGGCTGAAGCATAAAGCAGTAAAAATAGCATGGTCTAGCCAGTTTTCGGACTGGTCATTCAAAAATAGCTAGCGTTTACCAAGACAATGAAAAATAGCCACTATTTTGCTGCAACAGAGACCGGTCCAGCATAATATACTGGAGTTCGATGCACCTGTGTATGAACTTCCAACATATTATGCTGGAACTCCAGCACATGGAAAGTTCCAGCATAATATACTGGAGATTCGAACACTTGTGTATGAACTTTCAGCATATTACACAGGACCGGTATACTTTGCTGGAACTCCAGTATATTATGCTGGAGTTCTAGTGTACTTATGCTGGAACTCCATCATATTATGCTGGCCTGGAACTCCAGTATAATATGCTGGAGTTCAAGTATACTTATGCTGGAACTCCAGCATAATATACTGGCGTATTTTTCGGGTTTTGAACAGTGTTTTCGCTCAGATTTATCTTTACATGAAAAATGGCTAGATTTCGATTACTTTTTGAAACTGTGCTAGTTTTGAACGACCACTTGTAAATCTGGCTATTTTTGAATTTCTCCCCATAAAGCAAGGGTTTGAGGCGGCCCCAAAATTTTAGGGGCCACATTTTACACTAATAGTAGATTTATGAAAATTAAATTTTTAAAGGGTACAATTTTTTAATAAACTAAGAAAATCAAACTTCAAAATTTTGAACAATTAGAAGCGCATGAAAATATTTTTGGATTCTTATTTAGAGGTAATTAAAGAATTTGATATAACTAGGTGACGAGAATTTGGAAAGATGTTGCCTTAACCACGAAAGATATTGATGGTTTAGACTTATTTTTTAAATTAAAAGTATTAAAGAAAGATAATACAAGTAAAAGATAATACTTGATCAGATAAACAGACTTGCTTCTTTTTTAAGTACTTATATTGTTTATAGAATAATGTTAACTATAAAGAGGTAAAATAGATTTTACAAAAAACTTTTAAAAAAAAAAAAAACTTAAGGCCCCTCGTCAAGGTTTAGCTTTAGGCCATCGATTTTGTTGAGCCGCCTCTGCTTACGACCTTATACCGACTTACCATTTGAATAGAACAAAATGGTTATACGACCATTTTATATGTTATATTTACAAATATTCTTTGAAAAGGATCTTATAATTGAATAACATCTAATAGACTATAAACCAAAATTCCTTTTTTGGTCTATCAAAATATTGTAACATAAACAGGTGCAATGACTTTCACCAAAAATTGTCATTTTTTAGTTTCACCGAATACATAGCAGAATGCCCAATTAAATCAAATTTAGACTTTTCATAACGTGAATATAATGTTAAAATATCATGGTATAGCCAGTTTTCACACTGGTCAATGAAAAATAGTCAGCGTTTACCAAGTCAATGAAAAATAGCCACTATTTTGCTGCAACAGGGACCGGTCCAGTATAATATACGGGAGTTCTGGTGCATTTGTGTACGAACTCCAGCATATTATGCTGGACCGGTATACTTTACTAACTCCTGTAAAATTTGCGGGAGACTGGAGCACCAGTGCTCCAAACTCCAGTATATTATACTGGACAATTATACTTGCTGGAACTCCCGTAAAATTTGCGGGAGTTCCAGTATAATTATGCTTGAACTCCCGTAAAATTTGCGGGAGTTCCAGCATAGTTATCCTGGAACTCCCGTAAAATTTACGGAAATTCCAGCATACTTATGCTGGAACTCCCGTAAAATTTGCGGGCGTAGTATGCTGGAACTCCCGTAAAATTTGCGAGCATATTTTTTCGAATTTTGAACAGTGTTTTCGCTCAGATTTAAAGTGGCTAAATTTCGATAACTTTTATAACTTGGCTATTTTTCAATGACCAGTGATAAATCTGGCTATTTTTGAATTTCTTCTTGAACGTCCTCAAGAGAGTCTAAATATTGAAAAACAATGTACTCCCATAAGGGAAAAATAAAAGTAGAAGCGTAATTTGCTATATCAAGAATGCCGCTAACTTATTGGAAATATATAAAGAAAAATACTCTTTTGAGCCATAATTACCCTTAACGTTATCTTTAAGCATAAAATTGCCCTTCATTTTAACAGAATATGACATGATATATGTTAGAATTTTTATTCAAACATGTGGCGCTGATTTATTGGAACACATAAATATAAGACTCAAGTTATCGTGCACTGTAAAGTAGGGGACCTGAATCCTAGTACGATAGACTTGCTAATAGCTAGCTTTTATGGTGCAATTTTCTCGGGTTGTATCAAACCTAATCTAAAAACAAACCTGGCCCATTAACCCGATCCATCCGGATTACAAAACTCAGCCCATAAGAAGAATATTTCAATAAGAAGCTGCTAAAACACAGGCGACCAAATCCGTAGCATAAACACCAAACTCCAAGCATAATTCACATTTCTACATATAAAAAAAAGGACATGACCAATTGATTTATCTATAACTAATCAACAATTCTGTAGAACTCCATGACATAATTATACAGCGCGTGCTTCATTCGCAGTTTCGCCAATGGTTGACAAACCGTTTTGAAATTCTAGGCCTGCAAGTAAACGATAGGGAAAAATCAGCACCTATACAATTCTCAAACAGAGTAACAAAAGAAATAATATTCTCTTATACGCAATGAATACCATAAAACGGTTTTTGTAGTATTCAACCAGTCTCTTGGGATCCAAGACTTTCGTCTGCTTGTAACCATCAATCTTGTTCATTTCCTGCAAGGCGATCACAAAATACAGTTATCCATGAAAACTAACGTAAAGTGGACGAGCCGCTATTAAGTAAATATCCAAAATCTTAGCTCCTATACTTTTATCAGTGAATCAAGACCTTCCATGATCAGCGACGGGACCAGAATTTGAGGCTTATGAGCAGAGACGGACCTACGTACAAGTTAGAGGGGTCACCGACACCACCTAAGCTCGGAAAAAATCTTGTGTGTGTGTGTGTATATATATATATATATATATATATATATGGATATATACTTAATTAGGCGCCCTCATATACAAAGCTTAGCTAGGGGCACTGGTGGCGTCTACAACTTTGTTAGAGCTCGAATCCAGCTCGAGCAATGCCTTATATTTATCCAGATTTCCTCCTTTTTTTATTTAGATTCCGCCCTTCATCCCCTTTTTCTTTTGATTAGACCACTCTTTTAAAAAATATCAAATTTACTTCTCTCCAAGCTATGGTCAGAAACTTAGAACTTATCTCTCTCTGAATTTATAGCTAGCAATTGGCATGCCTCATGACTATTTAGGAGTCGTGCCCCGATGCCTCCAAATCATGGGTCCGCCTCTGCTTGTGGGTTTGGGATTCTAGTTTTTTAGACTACCGGGTTCTGAACATATTTAATGGATTTCTTTAAAATATACAAGGTTTGAACCATAGTTACTGGGATTGACCTAACCTGTAATTGATACACTAGCTCCACCCCTGTCCATCACACATCTTTTCGAATAGCGCTAACATTCATATAGGCAATAGTAGTCCATATCGAGTAGTAATATTAGTCATACCTCAATCCATTTGGCTAGTTTCGGCCTCGCAGATGTGATATCATAGTTAAACACCTCTTGCAAGAAAATTTGGAACCTTTCGATGAATGGAGCATATGCTATGTCAACCTAATACACCAAAAATTTCATAGTATATATTAGTATGATGAAATTTCATGTTCTGGAAAGATATATCTACACTACTCTGAATTGGTTATATAGCATATTTTACTGCAAAGCTACTAAAAAAGTAAGGAGTCGTCACCTGACTGAATTGACCAAGGAAGAAAGGTCCATCATCAAATTTTTCGAGAGCTTTTTCCAGGTAATCAAATTGTGCTCCTGGTACAAGTGTGAACGAACTACATTTTAATTTACACAAGGAATTCCTACCAAGAATACACAATGAGTTATAAAGTGCCAAAGCAAAAGAACCTCACCGGCCAGTATCTGTGCGTCTTTTTTAAACGAACCATATACTTCCTTGACTAATGTATCACTATAGGCTATTAATTCTTCAGCAAACTTCTGCTTTTCCGGATCCTACACCAGTTTACAAACTTGTGTCAATTTCAGAACTAATCTTTGGTCTCCCCATTTCTTTTTCTTTTTTTTAAAAGGGGGAGCGGAAGAAGAACGGTCAGTAATAGCAAGAATGAAACTTTGCAGCTTACATCAGGCAGAAGAGATGGCCCTTCAAAGTTACTATCAACATACTTAATCAGATCCAAACTTTCTCCGATCACTTTGTTGTTATGTTCCAGGGAGGGCACCTACGTAACAGAAGCAAACGAGATACTTTCCCAAATGTTTAAACCGTGTTCACGCGCAGCTTATGGTTCAAAGTCTTTAACACAAAAGCTTGTGAGACAACAGGTGAACAGATAACGGGCATCTCAACTGAAGATGCATTAGAAAGCTCCTTGAGGGAGGAAAGTTCAAAAGCCAATATTTATGCAGTGTTCAGCAACAGTTGTGAATCAGAGGGGACCTACTATTTATTCTAAAGAATCAGAGATGGGCATTTTGTTCAGGAGCATTGACAAAACCTACTGGCAACTTGCCAATGTCAAAATGTTCGGTCAAGGATTTATACTTGTTATGCATACATAAATAATGAATGGGCGAGCGAAGAACAGCTCTGTGTTTTCGGAACAATTACCTTATTTTCCGAGTAAAATTTTTCCTTGTACCAAGCAGGCCTGTTCTGGAGGTCAATTGGAACTAACTTGATCTGATCTTGCAAACCCTGAAACTCAAGAAATTTGGACACTATTTAGGTAATCAAATCCATTGCCAGGTCAAATCATATGCAGACTGAGATAAATATGAAGATTGAAGAACATAAATTCCCTTTTGAAAACAATAGGCATCAACAAATTAAAAGTTCCAAGTGACACCCCTTCTCCCACCCCGTCAAGCATGGATCATAACAGCCATAAATCAGGAAAACCTAACTTCATCGTGATAGTCCACGGCAGACCAAATGAAGCAATATACACAACTTAAAAGGAGGAATACCAGGTAGCTTGCTTCTGGTGTTTGGATAAGGGTTGAGCACTTAATTTTGATGAATTCAGACGTTAAATTTTAATTTTTTTAAATCAAACTTGGCATATTTAGAAATTTCAAAAGTACCATTGCTGCAAGTCACAATAGTTTAAAAAGTACAAGGTTTTTGAAATAATCTTAGTAAAAGAAAAACTTTGGTTCTCCAAACAATAATAATGTGACAGCATAGCTCGTGATGTGTGGATTAGGCTCACGTCACATGTTTGAACCTTGTTGCAAGCAAAAGCCTAGTATTTAAGTGGAGAAGGGTAGAGAGACGCTATCGACTGACTTCTTGAGCCAGCTGGCCCTCGAGATTTCTCGGTTATTAAAAAATTGCATATAAAAATGGAGCAAGCATATGAGCCATACTAGCCAAATCATAAACTAGTGAAACGAACCTTGACGTTCCTGATAATCCACACACGCTGAGCATAGGGGCACATATAATTGATGTATAACCTTCAGCAAGAAATGAAAACAACAGATCCACATCACCAATCTCACTCAATAAA